TTTTACTTTTTTTGTTAAATCAGTCCAACAGTATCCTTTGTCCTGTATGAGGTCAGGGAAGAATGCCATCTAACTTGTCGAAATATAGAATTAAGATACTGGTTTTAAAACCTGTCCCCATCTCTATTTTATTGCTGACCTTTTCTTTATGCATCTTCTGCTACTACTGTAAGAAGTAGTCACATCTGCTTTTAAAAGCAGCCTGGTGTGAAAGTCTGGAGCTTAAAATGTTTTCTTCCTTGGAAACAGTGTTAGATGTAGTTGAAATAGTACTATTATCACCATTGTTTAAGACTATTATACATGCAGTAGGTGCTTTCCCCCCTCCTTTTTCCACTCTTTTTCAAGAACATAACCAGCATATGAAATACAATTCCATGAAAAATATATTTCAAGTCTAAAACAATTATAAAATTAATATTTTCTTTCATTCAATCCATTAATAAATTCAGAACTACTGCACTTTAGCAGCTTAAAGCAGTCAGAATTTCTTGTTGTGATATTTATGCATGGTGTTTCAATAGAAATAATTTTTTTCCTTGATATTCCTTTCCTTAGCATTGACAGCCAAGGATTTATGCATCAAGATATGTAAGAGAGAACAATCAATTATCAAATATCTGCTAAAGTTCTCCCCCCTTAAATGGTTAAACCAATAAAACAATATGCTGATTCCACACAATGCTAAAGCAAAAGAAGAATTAGAAGGTCAAGGTCCTACACAAGGATGTCCAAGAACTGTCTAGTCTACCTCAGGCTGGCTATTTTAGTTTTCTGTGAGTCTCAGTGCACATTTACAAATACTTGCAGTCCTTGTTTGCAAAATATAAAAAGTCCTTGAGAAAATGCTTTGTGTATTAGAGTGCAGAGTATTCTTACTAGTAAGAAAAGTACATTAGAAGGGCCCCTTTCAAATTTTGTGTGCAATAAAAGAACCCATTGGTGTTACAGAGTCTAAGATGGAGAGAAAGAATGTGCTTAACACAGGAGAGAATTTTACTAACTAAATGTTGTGTGTCATAGGTGAGCTACTGGAAAAAAAAGAAGCTAAGAATGTTTTATCTGATGAATCAGTGGAAATACAGCTTTTTACAGCTAAAGAAATTGCTCTGTTAGGAGCAGAAAAAGAAAAAAGATTATAGGTTCTATATGACCACATTCATATTTAATAAAACCTAGGTAAATCTAATTGTTCCACATTAAGGTCAGGAAGAATAGGACAAAAATGAAAATGTGAATCTGTTTTACACACTTGCCTAGTGTTTAGACACACAATGTGACTCATCTAAAGGTCTATTTTTGCACAAGGCAGCAGAGCCTGGAAAGGGATTTTAACAGAGTGGGCAAGATAAAATGAGCAGAATAATCATCAGGCAATTCAGATGCAGATTGAAGGTATGGAGGGATAAGGTGAAGACTTTCAGTCATGATGGGTAAAATCACTGACTTTAGTCAAGAACACGTGTTAAAATATGTGTTTGCTTTGTTGAGGATGAGTCGGGCTGAACAGCACTTGTGTGTAGTTGTGGTATTTGAGAAGAGACAGCTATGTATTGTGAGTGCCAGGTGACTATTCTAATCTGTGTGAGCTTGAGGTGCAGGATCTTTATTACTATACCTACATTTTACTTGTTGACTATCTTGTTATCTTGTATTTCACCCTTATGGCAGTAATAAAAACATATGTTTCTGACTGTTTTGTGCATTAAGAACAAATGTGCTAATGAACGCCATGGGTGTGGGAGGCAAGAATAACACTGTCTGGGATATCAAGGGTATGTTGTCTGGGCTATGATTCTCAATGTTTGGGCACTTATGAAATGGTATAATTTGGCATTTATGTAAAAATGTAGTAATTTGCCCTGTGATCTGATATGGTTATCCTGCATTATTTTCACCATGTCAGCTTCTCATAATGTCAGTTTTAGACCCTAATTTCTTAGTGAGGAGTTGAGTATATTTTGATTGCCCTAGTAATGTTATCTTCTAGAAATAAATGTTGTTGTTGTTATGTGCCACAGAGCCATCTGCAACTCATAGCGACCCTATGTACAACAGCCCTAAACCCTGCCCTATCCTGTGCCAATCCCGCCATCTCTGACACACCTACCCCCCATAACCCCAGTCACTGAATCAGTCCATCTCATTGAGGGTCTTTCTCTCCTGCGCTGTCCCTCCACCCTCCCAGGCATGACATCCCTCTCCAAGGACTGGTCCCTCCTTGCAACATGTCCAAACTATGTCAGATGAAGGTTCAGAATCTTTGCCTACAGGGGGCAGCCTGTCTTCACTCTCTCCAGGACAAACCTTTTTGCTTTCTTAGCAGCCCATAGTATATTCAATATTCTTCTCCAACACCACAGCTCAAAGGCATCAAATCTCCTTCTATCCTCCCTAGTCATTGTCATTGTCCAGCTCTCTGATGTATAGCAAGTGATTGCAAAGACCATGGCTTGTATCAGGTGCACCTTAGTCTCTAGACTGACATCCTTGCACTTCTGTACTTTAGAAAGGTCTTTAATACAGAATTTCCCATTGCAATAATAAGAAGATAAACGGAATACACAGAATTACTATAGCAAAAGAATTAAGCAGTATAGAAATATTTCAGGAATACCTTATGATCAAGAGCCAATGGTAATGAAAGAAGATATTCACACTGCACTGAAGGCATTGGCAAAAAGTAAGGCTTCAGTAATCGACGGAATACCAATTGACATGATTCAACTTACAGATGCAGCTCTGGACATTCTCACTAGACTATGCAAGAAAATTTGGAAGACAGCTACCTGGCCCATTGCCTGGAAGAGATACATGTTTGTTTTCATTCCCAAAAAAGTGTATCCAACAGTATGTGGACATTAATGAACAATATCATGAATATCAAATGCAAGAAAAATACTTCAAAATATCTTTTAAAAGTGGCTACAGCAGTACATACACAGGAAACAACCAGATGTTTAAGAGGCCTTGCATCAGGGATATCAATGCTGACGTCACTTGGATGCTGGCTGAAAGCACAAATAATAGAAGAATGTTAGTTTGTGTTTTATTGGCATTTGATGTGGATAATAACACTTATGGCTAACATTGAGAAGAGTCAGAATCCAAGAACATTTAATTTTGCTCATGTAAAACCTGTAGCTAGACCAAGAGGCTGATGTGCCAACAGAATAAGGAAAACTGCATGGCTTAACAATCTGGATGCTGAGCAAATGATTGAAGAATTGAACTCTATGAAGAATAATGTAGTATCGGGATTGGAGGAAAACTCATTAAGAACTCTTGTTATGTGGATGACACAACCTTGCTTGCTGAGAGTGAGGAGAACTTGAAGCACTTGCTGCAGGAGTTTAAACACTGTAGCTTTCAGTATGAATTGCATCTCAATGTCCAGAAAGCAAAATTTTTTTTTTTGCCACTAGATATATAGGTAACATTATGATAGATGAAGAAAAGATTAAGATTGTCAGCAACTTCATCTTACTTGGATCCACAATTAATACACCTGGTACTGATAAGATCAGGAAATGTATTTCACTGGGACGGTCTGTAGTCAAGGACTTCTCCAAATTTTTGAGGAGCAATAACGTCTCTGATACATAAAAAAAAGCCATGACCTATATAAGGTGCACCTTAGTTTCCAGACTGACATCGTTGCTCTTCGATACTCTAGAGAGGTCTCTGAGAGTCGACTTGCCAATGGAATTCATCTTTTTATTTCCTGACCACTGGTGCCAAGGCTATTAATTGTGGAACCAAGCAGGCTGAAGCAGTTGACAATCTCAGTCTCTTCTCCATCTATCATGAAACTGACAACCCATTGGTGAGAATTTTTGTTATTCATCAGAAAGCTGGGCAATGACTAAGGATGATAAAAGAAGCATCAATGCTTTTGAGTTGTAGTGCTAGAGAAGAGTATTAAACATACTATGGGCTGCCAGGAGAACCAACAGGTCTGGCCTGGAGAGGATGAAACCAAACTGCTCCCTGGAGGCAACTATTTTGAAGCTCCGTCTCATATACTTTGGGCACGTGGCTAGGAGGTACCAGTTCTTGGAGAAGGACATCATGCTTGGAAGAGTAGAGGGCAGTGCAGAAGAAGAAGACCCAGAATGAGATGGATTGACTCAATGACTGAAGAAATGGGATTAGGTCTGTTGGAAATGATGAGATTGGCTCAGGATAGGGCCAGAATTCAAAGCTATTTTATATTCAGTTGGTATCAATCACAGGTGACTTGACAGCACATGACAACAGTAACAGAAATGTTAGTTTGAGGACTAAGGTGTGCCTGATTCAGGCCATCGTCTTTTCAGTCATTTGCTATACATGAGTGCTGGACAACGACTAAGGATCACAGAAGAACTGATGTCTTTGAGCTGTGGTGTTGGAGAAGAGTGCAGCATATTCCGTGGACTGTCAAAAACTTAAACAAATACTCTAGTGGCCTAATATCAAGAAGCTGCACTGCAACCCCAGAAGTATAAGGTTTGAATCCACCAGATGCTCCGCTGAAGAAGGAGAGGCAATCTCCTCTACCGGTTAGATTTTTTGATTTGATGGTACACACACACAAAATAATAAAATTTTAAAAAATATGTAAACAAATATGCCTTGGAAAACGTACAGCCAGATTGCTTGTTGAAGGCAATACATACTTTGTTTAATATACTTTGGGCATGTTGCAAGGACAGATTATTCCTTGGAGAGGACACTATGCTTAGAATGGTGAAAGGACAGTGAAGGAGAGATAGACCCTTAACTAGGTGAATTGACACAGTGATTATAACAATGGGCTTGTATGTGTCAGAAATTGTGAGGATGGCACAGGATAGCACAAGGTTCAGCTCTATTGTTTATTGGGTCTCTATGAGACATACACAACTCAATAGTATCTAACAACAAAAGATCTTCTTTCAAGCTTTAGCTTTTTTTTATTTTTCATGCTGTAGTATCTTTAATTTTGTCCTTTTAGTTCACAACACCTAGAGATCATTTCATCCACTGCTCTGTTTTGCAGCCAATCTCTTGTCTCTTTCTTCAGCAATGGTAAGATGGATACCCTTTCCTCGTGGAAGAGAAATCCATGGTTTATTGCCTTTGCCAATAACAAAAATGTTGGAAAGCCGAGTGGCAAAGCTATTGCCATTGGCATCTTTCACATGAACCACATCAAAAGACCCAGGATGTCTCTCTCTGTTGGTGATCACACCAATTCTTCCCAGGTTAGCACCTCCAGTCACCATGCACAGGTTACCAGTATCAAACTTGATGAAATCAGTAATCTTTCCAGTCTCCAAATCAATCTGAATGGTGTCATTCACCTTGATGAGAGGATCAGGATAGCGGATGGTTCGAGCATCATGGGTCACCAGATGAGGGATTCCTTTTGTGCCCACAAAGATCTTTCTTACTTTGCATAACTTGTACTTTGCTTCCTCAGGTGTAATGCGATGAACAGCAAATCGACCCTTGGTGTCATAGATCAGACGAAAATTCTCTCCAGTCTTGTCAATGCTGATCACATCCATAAAACCAGCAGGGTAGGTTATATCAGTTCAGACATAGCCATCAATCTTAATGAACCGCTGCATGCAGATTTTTTTTAACCTCATCTCCTGTCAGGGCATACTTAAGCCTGTTTCGTAAGAAAATGATCAATGGCAGACATTCTCTCAGTTTGTGAGGACCAGTAGATGGACGAGGAACAAATACACCAGTAAGTTTGTCCAGCATCCAATGCTTTGGAGCTGCTACACGCTTCAGATGTTTCTTGGGACCACGAGCCATGGCTTCGCTAGGCACGGAAAGAGGACCCAAGCTTTAGCTTCTTTTGTAATTTAAAAATTGTCTAAGAAAATATAATGCTAACTGATCATATATTCCAGTCAGTATTTCAAACTAGTTAAACTGCGTATGAGTCATTATTTCATCTTTCAATGCTTTATTCTGTATCCACCAAGTGAAAAAATTACCAAATTCAAAGATAAGGTTCCAGATTTTATGTCCTATGAAAAATGTCAGTATTGGGTTATTAGTAGCTTGAGAGTGAATGAAATCAGTGAAACTTAAAAATGATTTAATTAATATAATAATTTAATTTTTTAAATCAGTGACAACATCTGTGTGAAATAGTGATCTGATGATGTTGCAGTTGTACAGCTACTAATAGAATTTGCATTCTTCTGAATGAAAATTGGAGCTATCTCTAAAGTTCATATTTTTGACAAAATTCACAAGATTTGCTGCAAACCTGAAGGCATAGGTTCCAATCCTGTAGCTATTCCGTGGGAGGATAGGCAATCTCCTCCTAGTTGATTAATTGCCTCTGAAAACTCACTGGAGGGTCAGTTCTGATTTGATGGTACACAACACCACCACCAATAAGACTAAATATGTAATATAGAAAATATATTGATAACAAAGATTTTCAAGCCAGGCTTTACTGACAGGAAAAAATATTAGAAATAATTATAAAAGTAGGAGACTGATTATGGGATTTGGAATAACATGAAAACATTTAAATAGCTAGCTATGGAGACTACAAAGTAGGTAACCCAAGTGCTCATCAAATAGAAAATAGATGAGTGAACAGTTTGCATATTCACAGTGGGAAATTATGTAGAAGTAAAAAAGAGTAACAGAGAGTGACAGACAACAATATGAATACATTCTACCAATAAGTAACAAAAAGAAAATATCAAAAATATCAGATACTGTGTTCTAAATTTTCACTTAAGTCATAAATAAAATATATGTATTTTAGGAACACAGAGTAAGTGAATGTTTATGCATAAATATAAAAACACTGAATTATTATTTATAATCTTAAATAAAGGCAGCTAGAAAAGGGGTTGTGACATATTATTTGATATGTGTTATTTTTAAGGTTCCAGCATTTTGAAGCATGGTGATAAATTTGTGAGAAGTCTGATGTTGCTACAATAAGTAAGTAAAAATAAATAGTGCCACAAATGAACCAATGAGCATATGCAGTGAACTACGTATTGTACTACATGAAATCATGTATACCAAACTCTGAAGGGAGGAAGGAATAAAGACCTACATTTTTAAAACTAAAATACACTTTAGAAAGATGCATTGACAAAAAACAAATGATTTCTGAAAATTACTATGTGATAGTGATAAATTTGAGTTAACTTCTTTCAAATTTTATCTCAATGAAAACACATATTTATAACTAATAAAAACTGGTATGTAAAACTATGAATCTGTTTGTGAATATACTTCTATAGCTAGTAAAGAGATTACTGAGATTGTCTGAGATTGTCTAAATATTGATTATCATTTGAGTGGATTCACAGCCAAGCCCCAAAGCAGGCGTACATCAGAGGAATCTTAGGTGGCCTGGCATTGACGATTAATTTAAGAATCGATCAAGAAAAAAAAGATATAACTATTTGCAAGAGCACATGCCAGATTCAGTTAGTGGTTAAGATTTCTGTTTTCTACTAAAAAATAATCTCTCCTTGACAACGACTCAGAGAATGTGTGTTTTGCATTTGAAACATGAAATAACACCACCAATATAGCTTCGTAATGAGTTATTTCTGTGAAATTCTGTGTAAAGACACATTTTAGATCAACATACATTAACACAAACTTTGAGTCTATTAGTTGAATGATTATCGCAGAAAGTAAGAATGCAGCTTGATCCATAATAAAAGCAAATTGATTTGACATTTTGGCAATGATAGTCATACAGTGTCATACTCCTGCATGCCTGGATATCAACTTACTGGGATGTTTATTTAGAATTATAAAAATTTTACTCTAAATTACACCCCTGCAAAATATGTAGCTGTAAATCTTTCAAAGATATTTTATACAATTTCCAACCTTCCTTATAGGTTTTAAAGTACAAGCCATATAATCAATTAACATACAATATGATTTCCATTACATTTGAAGAATATTGGACATATTGTTATGAGAGGAAAAGAAGAACATGATTTGGAAGATCAACGAAGGAGAAGAAGACTCAATTAGATGGATTGATGCAGGGTCTGTGGCAATGGACTCAAAAGTGTTGGGGATGATAAGAATGGTGCAGAAAAGGGCAGATTTCACATGTTTATATATGTTGTTCATAGGTTTACTACAAGTTTTACTCAAACTGATTGACACATAATAATAAACAATAATATTATGAATTAGATAAATGGTATACTTTGATGCACATATCATAATATGTATATATACACATATATGTGTGTGTTATATTCTTTCTAATAAACTATCTGCAACATACAGAAATCAGTAGATTTTACAGTGCATTTATGGTGGTTTTATCTGTCTAGTAACTGAAAAAAATTGTAAGTAAGAAACAGCTTCCAGAAAACAATCTCTTTAGAGAGTTTTTGTTTTTGTTTTTGGGGTTTTTTTTTTTAGGGTTTCCAGGCATCTATTGTTGCACTTTTTCTCCCTCCCCTCTTCATTCCCCAATTCACTCTTGAAAGAAAACTCATTGTTATGCAATCTCTCCCCCACCCAAGTCCACTCCACTATGCAGCCTTCACTCTGGACTTCTGTAATGACAAATACCCATTCATATATCCCTTTTAAACAGTTCTCTCACTCATCTGTTTCAATACAGTATACACTATTCCTCCGCTCCTTTTCTGTCTTCCCTCAACCCTGATGTCAGCCCCGTTTTACAACAGTGGCACTATGCAATATTTGCCCTTTTGTGACTGAGATATTTCACTCAGCATAATGTCCTCCAGGGTCATCCATTTTGCATAATATTTCATGAGTTTCTTGTTTTTCAATGCTCCATGATATCCCATTGTGTGAATATACCAGAGCTTCTTTATTCATTCGTTTGTTGATGAGCACTTGGGTTGTTTCCAGCTCTTTGCTATTGTCTTTAGAGAGTTTTAAAGGGTTTTTCCTCCTCTTACTTCTCCTTTGTATTGTTCATTTTTAAAAAAAAACACATCATTTAAAAATATTTACTGAAATAACCATTTAGGATACTTTATCAATCATCCATTATATTGTTATTTTTATTGCTATGTGCTCTTGATAGCATCCCTATGTACAACAGCTCTGAAACTTGCTCTGTCCAGAACCAGTCCCACTGATTCTGACACTCCTACCCCCATTTCTCTAGTTATTGTGCCAATATGCATCATGTGGAGTCTTCCTTTCATGTGCTGTCCCTCCACCCTTCTGAACATGATGTCCTTCTCCAAGGATTGGTCCCACCTGGTCAGGTGCCCAAAATTCGTGAAATGGAACTTCAAAATCCTAGCGTCCAAGGAGACACTTGTTTTCACCCTCCAAGACAGATCTATTTGTTTTCTTGGCAGTCCCTGGTATATTCAAAACTGCGCTACAGTACCACAACTCAGAAGCATCAGTTCTTCTTCTGTCATCCTTAGTCATTATCCAGCTCTCTGATGCATAGCAAGTAATTGTGGGGACCATGACTGACATCATTGCTTCTCAGTATTCTGTAGAGGTCCCTGATGGCAGGTTTTCCCAATGTGATTCATGTGTGGTGGTTTTTGTTGTTGTTGTTTCTTGTTGGTTTGTTTCTTTTATAATTTTTTTTCAATTCAACAAAATATTTCCTGACTGCTGGTTCCAAGAGTGCTTATATTATCAAAAACATTTTTCCCTCCTTCTAGTTACTTAAAGTCTATGGCTTTCACTTTTAAGGGTAGAACACTGTAAGATAAAGAAAAAATAGAGTCAATAATTTACAAAATTATTTTATTAATTTTAATGAAAATTTACAGAGATTTTGGATTTTCATTCATTCATTGTTGTATTTGCATTTTTCTCCCCGCTCCCCCTCCCCCTCAGTTTGCTTTTCTTTTTGAAAGTAAAAGAAAATTTCTTTTATTGGTATACAACCCCCTGCCCCCTCCAAGTACACTCTACTATGCAGCCTTCATTCTGGACTCTTGTCATAAACATAATACCCAATCATATATCTCTCCCTCATGTTTCAATGCAGTATACATAATTTATCCAGTTTTTCTCAGTCTCACCCCAACACTGATGTCAGTCCCGTTCCACAACAGTGGCAACATGCAGTATTTGTCATTTTGTGACTAAGATATTTCACTCAGCATAATGTCCTCCAGGGTCACCCATTTTGAATAATATTGCTTGAGTTCCTTGTTTTTCAATGCAGTGTAGCATTCCATTGTGTGAATATACCACAGCTTTTCTATCCATTCATTTGTTGATGGGCACTTAGGTTGTTTCCAACTCTTTGCTATTGTGAACAAAGCTGTAATAAACATGGGTGTGCATATATCTGCCTGGGTGACAGTATGGTTTCTTTGGGGTATATTTCCAGTAGAGGAATTGCTGGTTCAAATGATATTTCTATTTGCAACTTTTTGAGAGAGTGCCATACAGCCTTCCATAGTGGTTGTGCCATTTTACACTCCCACAAACAGTGAATAAGGGTTCCAGTTTATCCACAACCTTGCCTGCATTTGTTGTTTGCTACTCTGTTAGAGTCAATAATTTTAAAGAAAACAAATAAGTTTGGATTCTCATGTTGTTTCCTTGGAAAAAAATGTAATTCTCTAAGCTCAATTTTCTTAACTAGTGGTAGTAAAAGAAAAATAAATAAAGGAGCCAAAATAGGTCACTAGTTTCAGGGGAAACAACATAAAATAAGAAGTCAAAGCTTATCTAGTCACATAGGTAAAACTCATGATTTTTAATATTAAAGAACTTGGAGCTAAATTTTTCTACCAGCAATTAAAGTGTAAAAAGAGCCCAAGGAAGCAACAGACATATTT